CATCCTTACAGAATCCTGACAGCGCTCACGTAGGAAGCAGCAGAGCACCAGGCAGGGATGGTTTAGATAAGCAGGAACCCTTTACCAAGTGAGTACACCATGACCTCTCTAATCCAGCCACAGAGCTGGATTAGAGAGGCAGTCTTGTTCATAAAATGCCAGCGGTCAAGGGGTGGGCATGGGACACTTCTGCGCCGACAAGAAGAAAGGGAGTATACACTGGAGGCCCTGGGGAAGGCATTTCCTCACTAGTAAAAGAAGGGGTGGGGAGGCGTGTAAAGAAATCCTTCCAAGCCTCTTTTGTTTCTACCTTTGAAATAAGTTCTGGGAAGGCAAGACATATGGACATGAAGCACCCATCTGGCAGCCATAAAACAGACAGGAAGAAAGAACAAAGAACACAAAGAGCCTGTGTCCTGAATGACATCACTTATGTGCCACACCAACTTTGATGCTACCTTTCCAAGGTCCTCCTCTTCTCCTACAACTTGACTTACGAAGACACTTTTAGGTTCTTATTCTATGACTTGTTGCCAAAGCACCTCGAACGACACAAAGGCCTTTGCCAATTTCCAACTAAACATTTCATACTCATTTAGATGGCAATAAAAGTTCTAAACAATGCAGGCACCCACTGAGGCTATTTTCTTGGGTATAGAAGAGACAAAAAAAGGAATTCTATACCTTCATCCCCCTAACTTAAGTAAGTAAGTGGGGCCCTACTGAAGGCCCCCAACAGTACTAGGATAAGCATCATTGTCTACAGCCATACCACCCAATCTCTTCGTTAGATAAGAATCATAGAGAGAAGGGAAAGAGGCTACAAAGATATATGAGACCTGGACCCTGTCCAAAAGGAAACTCACAGCCCAGTTGGACAGATAAGAAACAATAAAACAAAAGCAATATCCATAGTTTTGGCCTTAAAAGGAACCTGGAATCTACCTCTGTAAATTATGTGCCTATCACATTTTGCATTTTATTTTTATATGCCCAGAAACTTGAGCTAAAAGTGGAACAAAGAGACTGAGAAAGAAAAAGAAACACTATAAAACAAACAAACAAACAAACAAAAAAGCAAAAAGTGAGTGAAATAGGATACGTTAGGCAAAGGGGGATTGACTCATACTCTCACAGTCTATGACCAAAGTTGGAACAGAGGGTCAGATGTGGCTGATGCCTTAGACTGAAGCCCATGAGGAAAAGACAGTTTGCTCTACCTGGTTTCTTTTCAGATTAGGAGTTGGAAAGTCAATTCTGTACTCTATTTCCGGCTTTGGTACAATGTAATAAATAAGATTCCTGCAACCTGTGTGATATTCTTGACTGGTCAGCAATCACTGGGTGTAGAGTGCTTCACAATGGCTATCCTCTATACAGCCCTCCAGATGGCTTTCCCCATGTAGAAATGTGGTATACTTTACTCTTTGGTGTTCAGAGATTAGCTAGACAAAACGGACTCTTCATCAGCTCCAAATCCGATAAATCAAGTCCAAAAGTACTCTTCAAAGCACAACAACACGAAACATCCAAGAGCATCATGTTCCACCAGGTAAAGACCACACGCTTGGGGTAGAGCGATCACTCAGCAGGTAAGGAGTGCTCCCTGTTCCTTCTAAGGGCCTGAGTCCCATTTTCAGTACCCACAGAGGTGATTTACAATGCCTGCAACTCCTGTCCCATTGACTCTAACGCACTCACATGTTCATAGCGACATACACACACACACACACACACACACACAGGTGAAAATAAAATAAAATCTTAAAAGAAGGAGAAGAAGAGAAGAAAAAAAAGAAGAAAAAGGCTGGGCAGTGGTGGTGCACACCTTTAATTCCAGCGCGAGAGGCAGAGGCAGCTGGATCTCTGTGAGTTTCAGGTCAGCCTGGTCGACATAGTGAGAGTAGCCAGAGCTACACAGTAAGATCCTGTCTCAAAAAGCCAAAGGTAGTCTAGGGGGGCAGGAGGGGGAAAGTCTGTGTTTGGGAGTCTTACAGGCCTGAGTGCAAATCCTACTTCCATTTTTTGTTCCCCCAACTTTGAGAATTTATTTTACCACTCTCTGAGCCCCAGTTTCTTAATTTGTGAAATAAAGCCACAACACTTTCTCCACAGGGTTTCTGCAAAAACGAATGAAGTAAGGGTTGGGTGGTGGCTCAGTCAATAAAGTGCCTGTGATACAAGCCTGAGAAACTGAGTTTGGATCCCCAGAACCCACGATAAAAACGGAGGGTTGCCACACTTGCTGCAAAGGCAGACAGATCCCTGATTTTCATTGGTCAGGCAGACTAGTTAAATCTATGAGTTCCTGGTTCAATATGTGACCCTATCTGAAAAAGAAAGAGGAGAAAGAAAGAAATTAAGGAAAGACACTTGATGTTGACCTCAAACCTACAGACACACACACACGAGAAAGAGAGGGAGAGAGAGAGAGAGAGAGAGAGAGAGAGAGAGAGAGAGAGAGAGAGCAATAAATATGTACATCATGTATACTCAGGCACACCACACACACACACATAACACAAATGCTTTTAAAATGAAGTGAGACGCTCAGCGATGAAACACACGTGGCCTTAGCATGTCCACAAAAATGATGCTTTCTTTTTCTTCCCATCTTAGTTTTGATCTTGGATGTATTTTAGATTTGTGTCAACAGAATCAAGTCATAAACAGATAACAACAGTAGTAGCACGTGCAGTGCACAGAGGCAGAGAATGCCAGCCTTCCTAATTTTTATCTTCAGTGCTTATCTGTAATTATGTTTGAAGAGCGATCAAGTTTAAAGAATTCAGAAGACCTCAAAAATTCACATCGAACCAATCTTTGGTTATCTGAAAGCACTTCATCTGGACAGTCAATGAAGCCAGCCTGAAGGGAGCTCCTAGTATGTGTCTAATGGTCAAAGGAAAGGAGGCTAGCGGTTGGGAATGTGCACCACGCCCCTAAAGAATTGCTGAAATATGAACCCCCCCCCTCTCGTGTCCTTCCTTTCTTGTAGACGTTGATTCTCATTCCTCCTAAGAGGGAGAATTGGGAGAGGCAGGGGTGCAGTCAGGGAAAAGATTATTTTTGCCCTTCAGATTTCTGTCATATCGTCCTCTGCAGAAAAGTCATCAAGTCAGCTCATTGCATATAAGGGAAGAGATGGTGTTCATCAGAGTGTGCCCGGAGGGAGATATCTCAACGGGCAGCTGGGCAGAGACTGGCCCCCTGGGAGCGTGGGGGCTGAAGATGCATCCTAGGGCGAAAGATGATCCAAGAGAACAAAGCATCATCAGTGCTTCTACATTAAAGAGGCAGAGGTACACACTTCAGCCATGGATTTTTAGTGGGGATCAGAGAAGATTAACGTTTTTCACAAGTTTTTGATTGGTACCTGTTAGAAAACCCATTTCACCTTTTTGCTTATAGCATTATCTTCCGTTTTCTCCTGGATTCTGTAGGCAGACTGGCCTTTCTCTGAAGATGAGAAGGTGAAGTGGTCGGTATGGGGAGAAGTATTTAATACACAACACCAAGCAGCCAAATGAGTAGGAACAACATACCAGGGAAGGCAGGTTTGGTGGATGAGGCCCAGTCAAGGTGATGGTAAAAAAAAAAAAAGTCCCATTGCTTTTTATCTGCTCCCTGTTTGAACCTTTACTATTTCTTCCAACAGTGTCACTGTGGGGAAAAAACAACAACAACAGAGCTTTTAGAGGATGTTAGGTTCAGAAGCAGAGAAAATTATGTGGACAAGTATAATTATACCAAAAAAAAGCAAAAACAAATAAAAAGTAAATATAGCACAGAAAGCTAATAACTAACAGTTCAGAGTGCCCTTTAGTGTCCTTAGAATCCTTCCACTCCCTGGAGATGGCGATGGCTTGGTGGGTAAAACGCAGCTCTGGGAACATGAGGGCCTAATCTGAGATCCTCAGCATCCACGTAAAGATCCAGGTGTGCCAGCAGATTCCTCTAACGTCAGGATCAGCAGGATCAAAGTAAAATGTAGATTCAGGGCTGAGTATGTTACCTAGGATAAGGGCTCTTGCCTACCTAGAATGAGTGAGACTTTGCATTTGTTCCCGACACACTTTTTTGCTTGTTTTTGTTTCTCAAAGGTTGGTTTTAGTTTAAACAATTCATTGCAGAATAAATGAAGAAGCCCCTAAAAGCAGCTGGATATGGTGCTCTGGAGGGAGGCGCACACAGCAGTTGCTAATAAAATTGAGTGTTTCAGAAGCAGCTACGAACAAGTGCATCCTAGCTTCTCTTTGATTGTGTGCCATAAGATTCAGACCAGTGGGTAGTTTTGATTTTGCTACAATAGCGATGCTGATTTTTATCAGACTTTTCCAAAGCTGTATTGAACTGGGTAGGTCACACACTGCAATGTACAACATTATGGATGCAAACGACTAGAGTCAAAAAAAAAAAAATACCACGAGAACAACATGAAATCTCTGCTATTTTCTGAACCATACAAGAACTCCACCTCGGAAATATTTAGAACAGGGTGGAAAGGACAGGTCATAGTTCTCTGAACCGAGAGTCTGGTGGGTGTCATCATTATGGTTGCAAAGGAATCTTTATGGGTGAGTCACCAAATATGCTTTAATCCAAAAGCGTCTATGAACACCAAAGTTTTGTGAAGTGCTGCACCACAGTGGGATTTTTGTATTAACCTACAATAAATAGTGTTCTTCCGGTGTACCAAGGATAATAGACTCAGATTTCTGGCAGCAGAACCTGAGAAGTGTGGTAGCAGGAAAGGAGAAGAATCCGTGGTCGGAGCCAGTCAGAGTCATGAGGGCTGAGCGAGAGAGCGTCATTCACAGTCTCACAGTGCAATGCTCTCGAGGGAAAGACCTGCAAGAACGTCAGGCAGGAAAGGGCAATTACGCAGGAGAACAAGCTGGGCTGCAATTTTACCGAGACAGCTGGGCTGGTTGGTAGAAGTATTCAAAATGTCACCTAACTGTGGAGGGGTCTTTTTTTTTTTTTTTTTTTTTTTTTAACCTCCCTGTTGGCCGCTCTGATTTTGGCCTTCCCATTGGAACAGACTGTAGCCTTGGACAAGTCAGAGGTCAGGAAAGAACAAAGCTGTCAGCTTCATTAGTTTATCCCCTAGAGATGGGGATAGGTCCGCCACGCTGAAACAGGGATCTGACCAGAGCATCGTGGTATCCAGCGTGAGGGGTGTTTCGGTGGGGCACCACTTACAGCAGGCAGGAAACCGCTGAACGGGGATGCAAAACCACTGGGGCATAGTATACCCAGGCGAGAGTTGGCCTCTGACAGGAAGCGGTTGGCAGAGGCTAGGCAAGATACGTTTGCCCAAAGGGAACAGGTTGGCTTTGAGTTGGCCTCTGTAGACTGCCATAGCTGTTGAGATGAAGCTGTTTTAGAAAGATCTCGTTCACCAAGTCTCATTGTTGCCACCGTAAAGGGAAGAAGGCAACAGTTCAGCGTCCATAAATGTAAATTTGTGTCAAAAGCAGGATTCTACATTCTCCAAGTACGGGACACAGGCCAATCAACGTAATCCAACTCCATGAGGCTTTTGATCTTCATCTCTTATGCTGCTTGTAGTCATTTTGTCTGGCCAGAGCTGTTAGGTTAATTGTAGAATTCCCGCCAATGTAAGCTAAGATTTCAGATATCCCCAAGGATCTTTTGTCGATGTGGTCAGCTATGGATAATGGATGTCAAGTGTGCAGATGTTAAATGTGACAGAGTTGAGAGACCTGTATGGCGTCTTGGTCTGAACCAGGATGATTGTGTGAGGATGACTGTGACGGTTAATCTGTCCTGTCCACTTGACTGGATTGAGAACCATCATGAAAATATACCTCTAGGTATGTCCACGAGGATGTTTCTTGAAAACTTTGATTAAGGAGGGAAGACTCAGTTTAATGTCAGCAGTACCATCCCATGGACTGGACCCCTGAAATTACTAAAAAGGAGAAAATGAGGTGAGCATCAGCTCGGCGTCTTTCTCTCTCTCTCTCTCTCTTTCCCGTTCTCTTCCTTCCCACCCCCACTGTGTATACAGTATGACTAACTGCCTGGCGTTCTTTCTGTCCCTGCATTACTTTCCTCTCAAACTACCAGTCAGAACGACCCCTTCTCTCTTTGAGTTGATTTTGTCAGAGAAATGAGAAATCTAACGGATATATTTAGTAAAACCGCTAGTCACTATGGTTTGGACTATATGCTCAATATTGCTTTATTTATATTTTTTAGGTATTTAATTTAAAAGACCACGCGATATCTTACTATTCAAAAGAGATTTCAGGCTGTACCCTGGGAAGATTATATGAGTTTTCCAGCACCATGCTCAAAATTATGCCTACTTGATTTCTAAGTTGAAGGTTTAATACTTTTATGCATTATCATTTCTCCCCTATATCCGGCCTCACATCACCCCCTTTTAACTTCATTCAGAAACTTTCTGTGAACTCGGTGACTTAAGGATTTCATAGTCAGCACAGTGGGTATTTTAGGTGTACAATTCATTCTTACGATCCTTGCTTGTCTGTCTTGAAAAAGTCATACTCATCAATGCCAACCCTGAATTACCACACCAAGAATTTGTAATGCCAATTAACTCAAAATCTCCATCATGTAGGAAGATTTATGAATATTCCAACGGCATTTTGAGTTGCTGAAAAGCAAGTCCTGAGATTGCTCACTCATGTTATGTCTTCAAGAATGAAAGAGTAACTTCAGGAAAATGTCATTTCCTGTGCTGATTATTTGAAAAGAAATTTTCTTTAACTGAAATTCGGTTTGTGCATTCATTTCCCCATATGTCATCTGTATGCTATATTTTGTACTTTCATTCTTTCAAAAGTTATAAGCTGATATTCAAAGTAATTATAATGCATATTGAATATATGCATATTGTTATCTTTTGTTTTAAGGCTTTATTTCTTTATTTTTTCTTTATGTGCATTTGTGTTTTGCATGTATGTCTGGGTAAGATCCCCTGGAACTGGAGTTACAGGTAGGTGTGAGTTTCCGTGTGGGTGCTGGGAATTGAACCCGGGACCTCTGGAAGAGCAGTCAGTACTCTTAACGGCTGAGCCATCAGCCCCTGAAAATGCTGTCTGAAGATCAGAATTTTAGTGGTCCTGAAATAAAACAACAATGTGATTTTAGTCATAATAACAGTATCATTTAGAAATGAAGTCCATTATGTAGAAGATAATTGACGCAGTGATCACTATCTATAGAAATGACCACCCAATTATCATTTATAAATTTCTAGAATACGAAATAATTGATATGTGAACTTCAGTATAACAATTTCTCAGACTTTTTGAGTGAAAAATTGGACAGATGATAGTCTAATCCAGAAGATGTATTCAAGGTATATTTATCTCAAACAAATTCTCCAAAACATTAGGAAGGAATTTGACTAAAGGGGAAAAATTAAATTCCAAAAAAGATTATATTGGAATACCTAAATAGGCTCTAAATTTTAATAGGAAAAATATCTTTTCACAACCTGGTCTACAAAGTGAGTTCCAGTACAGCCAGAGCAATACACAGAGAAAGACTTTCTTGGAAAACTAATATAGATAGATAGATAGATAGATAGATAGATAGATAGATAGATAGATAGATAGATAGAT